AGGAAATCTTTGTGACCCAAACGATGCTCGTTTTGCGTTCTGCCAAGCCCAGTACCTCTTCCGCGAATGTCATTTCACACAGGAAACCATTGTGACGCAGAAAGGAACTCATGTTCACAAACGGCCACTCACGCGAGAGCTCCGATCTCCTCGTGAAGCAAAGGTATCATGACATCAATGCTTATACTAATCCTATTAAAAGGTGAATGCTGCTATGAAAGAAAGACTGCTTGAACTTTTCCGACGACCCACAGAGAAAACCAGCTGCGTTGTACCGCTTTATTGAGGTCGCTTCGGTCAAGCCGACGACCACCCCTGTCCAACTCTTGGGCAAGTTACAAATGCTGTGAAGCGGCTCAGGTCCACCACGTTGGGGCATGTGAACACGGACCAAGCGCTGCAAGCGCTGCGTCAAGAATGGACCAAATGGCTTCAGCCAGGTGGTGTCGCAGACGCATCCGAAGGACGTCATCAACCGACGAATTGCTTCAAGTCGGAGATGGCTCAGATTTGGACCCGTTGCGAATTGGTACATTACACATACACGTATTTCACAACGTACACTTTTGTATTAACGACAATGACGCTGCTGCAGCGCTATCGCAGCGTTGTTACTGAGCACCCAAACATACGTGTTATGGTACATATGGATACGACGTTCAATTTGAACAAGTCGGGGTACCCTCTGTTCGTCGTTGGGTACTCGGACTTTGGTGGCTCCTTTCACGTACTGTGCCTCGGGATTACCTCCCACAGAAAGACTGGGGATGTGTCCTGGCTGCTCGAGGCCTTGAAAAACGCATTCCAAACTAACTGCAACTTCGCTTTGCCATTCATGATGGGCGATGCAGACGACGCACAGTATAATGGAATACGGGCGACATTTGGCGCCGCAATTGAGTATATTATGTGTTTTTCCACGTCATGGAAATGGTACGAAGAACCAACCAAAATCTGATAATTTTAGACTCTTTTTAGTGCCGAGACTACCCGGTTAACTTCAAATTTACTTGGCAAGAATGGGACGAAGAGTCCAAGGAAATACACCGCATGCACAAAGCCATTGATCGGGTGCACCTGGACTTTTTAGCAAGAAGTGTCAAGGCTAAGTGGAATGGCATGTCACAAGGAGTGAGAAAGTTTCGACTGAAGTTCTTCCGATGGTGGATGCCCCCAATCATGATGGCAAACGTACCACTGAATGACACAACCTGCCGGTTCTGGAAATGGCAAGTGTATCACACGGATCTTGCGGCTGCCACCACCACCAATCCCAACGAACTATTCAATGCAGAAATCAAATATGTACACCAAAAACTATGCTTGAATATAACGCAACATTTTAGGCGCTTGGGCACCAGCGCCTAGGCATGATGTATTTGGTTCAAATCTTGTTACGACTGCTGTGCAGCGAGTCAGACAAGGCCATCCCATTCTGGACCCCCCTCGGGTTGGCGAACGCCTCCTCCAACACTTCAAACAAGTCCAACGGGCAAATGCGCTCGATTTCAACGAGGCAATCGAGGATGGTCCGAATATTTGGAACGTACGACATCACGTAAATGCGAACGGTGATGTCGTCATCC